CAAATGAAGTAACTTTGACGCTAATAACTATATCGATTTATTGATTTGATATTTCGATAGTTGATATTTTTACGCGTATTTAAAAAAAAATTTGTTTTCCTACGTTACGCACAAGCCAAGATAATTTTTTTTTTTGAAAATTCGCAGCTCCTTTTACTATTAATATTAAGATCTAAAACTGTGGGGATATGGAGTAGAAGAGTTGCACTTTCATCAGAAAAAGTTTCGAAGAAATTCAGTATAGTATAGCATTATTTATAGAGTGTTAAAGAAAGGTTTTGTATGTCAAGTACATAAGGACCGGTGGTGGGGATAAGCGGGCCGCTGCCGCTGCGCTCGGCGGCGACTCGCGCGCGTAGCGTCATTTTCACTTCAAATTAATAAAAATAACATTATCTCAGTTAATATTGATCGTATTGAGACGTTTTTTTGTTAATGTGGGGTAGCTCGACGAGCTCTTTACGATTCTGTCCTCAGAAAAGCTATTAACGTCAACCTACCTGCTCAAATCTTGGCAACCTTTTTTTATGTATTGTTTATTAATAATTTCTGATTATTTATTTATGCAGTACTGTACACATGCATTATTGTTGGAACAATTTCTTGATGTTACTGCAAAATAATAGTACTACTTCTATTTTATCGATGNATACAGTTTGCAAAAACCAATGGTAGTAGGAAAATGCATTATATGTATTTAATTATGAATATTAAAATTATTAGTACAGTAGTACTTAAAAGGTGTAAGTAAAAAGGGAATGTTTTATAGAAGTATATATTTTTTTTATTAGTTTCAATATCATATTCTCTGTTTTTTTGTAGGTACATTTTCATCGTCAGAAATAATATAATCGGGAACATTCTCATCAGACATATTCTCATCATCACAAATATTAAGTAAAAAGATATTTTCTGGAACATCGTCATTTTCTTTTTCGTTAATGTTCCCGATTATATTATTTGTTATTATTGATGTTTCAGCGGTTTCAGTTGTTTATAACAGATTGGCACATTGCCAGGCTGTTGAAGGGCAACAATTTAAACATTTGTTGTGAATTGTTTGATACAATTGAATATTTTGCCCAAGCTGATCAATTGGAATAAAATTCGCCTTAACTGGCCGGACCCACACGCCACTTTTGTCTTAACTGGCCGGAATCACACGCCACTCTTGCCTTAACTGGCCGGAATCACACGCCACTCTTGCCTTAACTGGCCGGACCCACACGTCACTCTTGTCTTAACTGGCAGGACCCACACGCTACTTAACAAATTGTTAACTTCAAACCTTTATAACTCAAAAAGTACTTAATGAAAAAATGTTTTATTATAGTGTTTTGGAAAGCTTTCGAGATAAGCTATAAAAATATGCAATGAAATGGAGGAAGTTCCATTAAAAAAAATAAGGTTGACCTTGAAATGACCTTAAAGGACATGGTCAAGATGAAAGTCAAGGTCATCATCTTACTCCTCGCTTGAAACCATACAACTTTGCTATTAGACATTTTCTCCAAAATGCATTCTCACTGAAGATATTAGGGGGGTCCGATACTTTTCGATGATCCTGTATATTACCCTATCTAGTTCCAATAAATAAAACATGTTATGTATATTTGTACATGTTGCATACAATTAAGTATTCGCTTTTTATGAACACAATTAGTAATTCGCAATAATCTATTTATTTTTAAAACCGTATTTTTTGAATCACAGAGTTTTTATGCAAAAAATGCACTTTTATAACATGCAATAAATAAAAAAAAACGTTATATTGTAGAATTTTGAGGAGAAAAAAAGTGTATCGAGACTCGAATCAGCAGCGTCGACATTACTAACCTAGTACGCTACCGCTACGTTACGCGATCTTTGATTAAACGATTTAATCCTTATAAAGTAACTCGAAATTTTCAAATTCGATTTTCTCGCGAATGCTTGTGTTACGTCCTGGCCCACGGATACGGTCGGGCTATGGTGGAGTAACAGAGAGCTGTCGTTTCTCTTTCTATCTCCGCACAGCAGGCTGACGATCCCGCTGCGACGGAGTCGAGCGAGTTTGCTTACGTTCGTCGACAGGTCAACGGCGTACGCCGATTTTACACTGTCTTACGAACACTCACTCGTTGGTCTCTTTTCTAGTCTGGAGAATTAACTCCACGGACTAAGGACGAGACCGTGCGATCAGTTGAGGATGTGGAATGATGAGAGGTCGCCTTAATTAAACGGAGAAATTATGATAGATA